GGGAGTGGGGGTAGCGTTTAATTAATAGCCTCCCTCCCTTACCTTATGTAGGGAGGGGGGACCGTGCTGCTGCCATTCCTGGTGGTCCAGTGGAGAGTGAACTCTAGCCTGCATGGCTAGAGTTCACTCTCGCGGCAATGCTCAGATCTCGCCAGAGGAACCCGGCGCACCTGCTGGCTAGAGCTCCCCAGGTCCTCTCCTGCCTCCCTCCCTACCTGTGGGCCGGTGAGGGAGATCTTCACCAGCCCACGGAGGGTGGCACATAGCACGTGCCGCGGGGATTAGGGTGTGCCCAGGCACACCCGGCACACCCTGTGTGCACGCCTATACTCACTAATCCACCTAACTAGGATATACAGCAAAGACAAGTGTGGGCCCTATTATAGCAAAAAGGGGGAAGATGATCAGGACAGAAAGTGTTGAAGTTCCAGAAGGCCAAATAGAAGATGAAGAAAACAGCTTCAAGTCCCTGGGGGCACCACAAACACATGGCAACCATGAGGAAGAGGCAAGGAGGATAGCAACATCTAAGTACCTCCAGAAAGTCAGATAGGTCCTGAAGTCCCAGCTGAATGGCAAGAACAAGATCCAAGCCATCAACACATATGCCCTATCAGTCATTTGGATTTGGAGTTAAATGTGTTTTACAGACACAATCTGTCCTACGGCTATAGAAAGAAGGTTGGCAAAATCACATGTTCCATCTTTATCTACGGTGAATTGTCCTGTTTTATTCACCAAGTGGGACAACATAGAGAAATGAAAAGAGGGTATTGCCTGGTTTATGCCATAATAATCAAAATGGAATTAGCATCCAGTTTCAAAATAATTTTTAGAGGTGTCATTTTGGCCTCAATTCTGGTCCATTTGTTACAACTCTCAATTTAATGAATGAACCCCAAAGGGGTTTTAAAGCTGGTCATTGTGTGGCAAGAATATGGCTTTTATCGGTGATGTGAAAGACATCACTAGTATAGCCATATGGCTGCCCACCAATCCCCTGGTGGCACAATTTAGGATATCCCTGATGTTCATCTTTCACCTATTAACCAGCCATATATATTGAATCTTGGCTTACCTATTACATCGGATGCCCGCAGAGTTTCTTTCAGGAACACAACAGAAATTGCTGCACTACCTGCAAACATAAAAACAAAATATTAATCATACCTCATAAAAATAAAGGATATAAAGCAAGATTTACCCCATGGAAAGGAAATTGAATAAAGGGTTACTCCAAGCACTATGACCATTTCAGTGATTTGAAGTGGTCATGGTACCTGTGTATGTACAGCATTTTGCTCTAAAAGGCTGCACGTACAGAGACAAACCCCATAGCAAAATTGGCGTCTGATGCCAGCACACACAGCACACTGGATCCAAATGCCTCCTCGGTGAAGGTGTGTAATGTCAGCCAAAGAGGATAAGGCTTCGGGAAGAACTTGGTCTTGGCACTAAAACGGCAATACGTTTTTTAATTTTTTTATTATTTAAGTCTGAGGGGCAGCGGACCATCTCAGAAAACTTTATGGAAACCAAAACCAGTTTTACAAAAACACTGTTATTGGTTGGAGTAAAGCTTGTCATTTCCACTGATTGCAAGTCATTCTTACAAACAAACAAACATTAGTGATTATTATTATAGCCGTTTATCTATATGGTCACATTTTAAAATGTCACACAGGGAAGAGTGGTCAGAACATCAACCTATTCTCGATATACAGGCTTTGGCAGTTGAGAAGTGAAGTTGCTACTAGATATGTTTTTTTTTTTTGTAAAGTGTCAGCTTAAAGAATTTCTTTCAAAACAAAATGATCAATACTAATAATTCTTGGCGTATAGCAAATGACCTGTTCAGTTATTTCATATTGTTCCACCACATGACCGGCAAGCTTCCTAGAACATATATGGTAATACACTATTGTAACGGACCCTCCGTCGATCGATGTTCCTAGTCCTTACTAAGGACCATCAACATCGCACCAGACACCATAAGCACTGCAGACACCACGAACCGCCGCAGCTTGGTTGGGGTCTCGCCGTCTCCTACCCACCCTGGACCTACGACAAGTCTCCAGGCTCCAGTGGGTGAACCTCTCTTCCTTCAGAGAGCGAAGCAGGAACAGCTCTTAGAAGAGCTAGTGATTAGCATCCAGGGGAGTATACAGAGTATAGCAATGCCCAGTTTGACATAGCAGTACCCTACAACACAAGACAAGGCTGCGAGTTGAGGGTAAGAAGGTCTGAAAGTTTATTGAACAGCTTGAGTTTTTATACAGTTTTTCCCCACAAGGTTGACGCCAAGGTGAACCTTGTGGGGCACAGGACACAGAATTAACAAACCAATAAAAACAGAGTCTTACATGCAGACACTCCCCTACAGTGTTCACAATCCCTTCCCTCTGCCTGTGATACAATTAACAAAGACAATGGGCTAACTCAATTAACTCTAAACATACATTTTTATAAACCCCAAAAAGTACCCCAAAATACAACATATCCCCACAAAGTCACATCCCCTGATAGCCCCGATCTGGGTGAACAACATGTCCACAAATCACCCAGATCGGTTCAGGAATTTCCTGGAAGTCTTATTTTTGCCCCACCGTGCACATAGTCCCATGCCCAAAACAGTTCCACACACTCGACGACAAAACACAGCCGGACAATTTCAGATGGCCAGAGCCACAGGTTTGAATCTGTTCCAGTTAAAAGTTCAAGGGGCAGCCAAAAACCAGTGGCCAAGTTGCTTTCGTCACAACTATCAACATATTTTGTAGTGGTGATAGTGGCAAAGGTCCCAAGCGCCATCCCATTGCATAATAGAATATAATGGGGACTTTCACTTTAATGATAGCACAGACACCAAGAAGGACTGCAGCTGCCAGAGGCACCCATGTAAGTGTCAAACCACTTAAAAACAGCTTGATTCCTCACTATGGGATAGTGGTAGAGGACTTCTGGCACCATAACTACTATAGCACTCTACAGAGTGCATGGTGTTTAGCATGCTCCATTAACGGAGTTGCAGCTAGTGATACTCTTCTTTTGATTGACAAGAAGGACAGTTCCCCTTGAAAATTATCTAACAGCTACAAATGTTTGTACATTCCAACATCAAGTGTATCAGCATTAGACTTGCAGCATTATCAATAACAAGGCGTTGGATAATACCATCACACTAATGGCTATTTACATCAATTTGAAGAAAAAGTGCTGTTCTATGTACATGAAGAAAACAACTTTCTTTTTCGATTTGATCGATCAATACACTTTATTGCTGGCAGCGAAACAACAGTGTCTGGTAATTACGAGGATGAGAATTCTTTGAAGACAAAACTGCTCGTCGAATATTGCTTATGGGATGGACTGTGGCACAAACTAAGTGACATTTAAAAAAAAAAAAAATTTTTTTTTTAAATGTAATTGCATCACTTCTATTAAATGTAAGACAGTGGTATTTTGTAAGCTATGCACTTGATAGAGTATACAGATATTTGCACGTTCTAGATTTGTAACTATTAGATAATTTTTAACACCTTAGGGAGCTTATTCCTGCTTTCCCCTCCCTATGCCCTTTCCTTCCCAAAATGCTGGGATAGGGTATGTCTCTCACAAACATAGTTTATAAATCTTAGTGGCTGTAATATGTATTATCATCCTACTGCCCCCCATAGCTTGTTTTAGATCAAAACATCCCTTTGCCTTTCCCATGGACTGGCTGGGAAACCTTCATAATACAGATACCAAAGCACAAAATTCCTTCAATGTTAGAGGGATTACACTGACTCTAGAACCCTCATTCCAGCATCCACGTGAATCCACCCTTGGAAAAAACAACACCATGGTATGTGTACAGAGTCCTTATTGGAAATCTCCCTTGTTAAAGTTCAAAAACCTCACACAATCCTACCCAATGGCTTTTAAAGGTTCATTCCAATTTTTATCAATCTCTGTTTTATTATCTCGTTGTTTATAATAATGCCTACAGGACACATGCATTTAAAATGAGTTCTCATATGTTTATAAAGAAAAAATATATATATATAAAATTGTTGTCAGGTCAAGAGAGCCTTCTTATGCGGTCAATCCAACCATTTTTAAAGAAGAAAAAAAAAAAATACAAGAAGAAGAAAAGGTATTTTTAGCCCTTCATAGATTTAATATACAGTATGTGTAACAGTTGTTTTATTTATTTATTTTTAAAACCGGTCCTGAAAATATGTTCACCAAAAACTCCTAATCTCCAAAGGCACTTTAGATATGACAAACTACAGCTATCAAATATTTGCTGATAATGCTGGTAGCTAAAGTCTACAAAGTAGCCTACAGTACCACTAACAGGAGTTTTGCACTCCACAAGATGAAGATTGAAAAAACACAATTCTCAGCCCGGCTGACAGTGATCGGGGTCAATTACAATCTTACGCATGTTTTCTAACTGAAAGTAGACCTAGCTTATGCTAGATGTTTTGGACTATACCTCCCATGATGCTTTGGCAGCATTATCCTAATGTGTCTTACACCCCACCTCCTATAGAATGTAAGCTCGATTGAGCAGGGTACTCTTCAACCTATTGTTCCTGTAAGTTTATTTGTAATTGTCCTATTTATTGTTAAATCCCCTTTCATAATATTGTAAAGCACTACGGAATCTGTTGGCGCTATATAAATGGCAATAATAATAATAATAATAATTATGGGGGATGTAGTCCACAACATCTGGAGTGCCGAAGGTTGCCTACCCCAGGACTAGATGGTGAATATTGTAATTACCATTATTAGGTGGCAGGACGTGAAATTGGAGAAAAGAGACATTTAGGAATCTAAGTATACAATGACCCTGTTTCTGTTGGATCCATATTAACTCCAGATGAGTGGAACCTTCTCGACAATAACCTTGGCTTCTTTTTCTTCTATGAGGTATTCACAGATATTCTAGTGTTTGTGGAATGGAGGGGGAGGGCCATTGAAAAGGTCATGTTATAGTCAGTATTCATCTCAATACATTTCAATTAGTTTTCACTATAATAATTAAAAACAACTGTCAAAACCAACATGTCATAAGATTAAACTGTGAGCAGACCATCTCATATCTACACAATTACAATCTTTATCAACCATATAACAACACTAGTGCCACGGCATACAGCGTGCGCTGATATATACAGAACCACTGTACTCATGTATACTTTGTTACATGAAATCTAAGAGAAGTTTTAAATATACTGACAATATATACAGGGCACTGGATGTAATCCTATAACGGTCTGCAAGCTAAAAATTGTGTTAAAGGACCACGCCACACCCATAGAACACTGCACCTTGTTGAATTGCTATATGGCTGTTGAGTATCCCTTTAAATAACCATTTAGAAGAGTGACAATTTCAAAATAGAAACATGTCCCCAGGTGTCAAACAGCTGGGGAAATTCACTTCTTACTTCTGTTAGCTGACAGAAGTAGCAGGTGAATTTTAATAGAGCCTTATGATATCGTCAGCAAGAACTGCCTGGGGGAGCGATCGGCAGGTTACTGGTAAGAGGGGAAGCGCTCCCCTACTGCTAGTTCTTGTAGTGTCTATCCCCCGCTCCCTTCCCCTACATGTGTCTGACTCCCCTTCTCCCATCTCCATGTGTCTCAGACTCCCCTTCTCCCATCTCCATGTGTCTCAGACTCCCCTTCCCCCATCTCCATGTGTCTCAGACTCCCCTTCCCCCATCTCCATGTGTCTCAGACTCCCCTTCTCCCATCTCCATGTGTCTCAGACTCCCCTACACACTTCCATGTTTCTCAGACTCTTGCCCCCCAATCCTGTCCCTGCCGACCTTGTAGTGTGTTGATCTGAGGGTAGAGGATCTTTAGTTTTTTCTATCCGGACTGACAGGAAGTGCTAGCAGTGATAACACTTCCTGTCAGTCTGGGTAGAGGAAACTGAAGATCCTCTATGTGCAGATTGGCACATTACAAGGTCAGCAGGCACAGGATTGGGGGGGTAAGAGTCTGCTTGCTTTTACATCAAGAAGAAGCTTTATCCTCTCTGTGTTGTAACTATCTATGGTTTGCTATAGTGAGATTGCTCATAGGAGAATTCCTAGCAGTTTTTAGTTAGATAGCATATCCTGTAATACCCGGAGCAACTCTGCAGTGTGTCCTGCTTTGCCGGGGGATTAGCGACTCAAGTACCAGAGTCCTAGCTCTCAGGGTAGAAGTTCACCAGGCGCGCTTGCGTTAGTTCCCACAGGTGAAACAAGGTCTGAACTGTTACACCTTCAGGAACAGAGATGCTAGGACCGTATTGCTTTCAGCTGAATCGCCAGCTAGGAAAGACGCTGTGTTCATTAGCGGGAAAAGTACGGGCTAATGCAAAGAATCCCACGGGCGATACTAGGCCTGAACTAGTCCACCTTCAGGGCCAGAGACACCAGGCCCATATAGTCACAATGTCCAACTCACTCAATGGACTGCGGAGATGGACACTGGATAAGCAACTGGCATTAAATGTGTGCTATCACCAACTTATTGCACACAGAAATGCATAGAATTTTAGTATGTGAAAGCTACAATGTATACCTTGGAACCTAGTGCCTCCAGCTTCTGTGAGGTACTTTCCTACACTTCATCACTTAAAAGACCGCTATAGGCACCCAGACCACTTCAGCTTAATGAAGGGGTTTGGGTGCCAGGTCCCTCTAGTTTTAACCCTGCAGCTAAAAACTGTTTCAGATAAACTGCTATGTTTCACTGAGGCTCAATCCAGCTTCTAGTGGCAGTTTCACTGACAGCCGCTAGAGGCGCTTTCGTGATTCTCACTGTGAAAATCACAGTGAGAAGACACAGGACGTCTATATTAGAGCATTGAGTAATGCTTTCATATGGGCTGTTTGAATGGGCACGCGGCTCTTGCTGCGCATTCGGATCTAATGTCGGCAGGGGGTGGAGAGTTCCCCAGCACAGAGGGAGCCCGGCGCTGGAGAAAGCCAGCAGGAGGGGGGCCCTGAGTTTGGGGGGACCTAATGACCCTACAGTGCCAGGAAAACGAGTTTGTTTTCCTGGAACTATAGTGCTCCTTTAAAGATTCTACCTGACCTTAGAAAGTATCTGTACTTGAATTTTTTAAACATTCTTTTGAAAGAGCATAACTTTTAATCTATACATTTTGCTAACAAATGTACAGACTGGGAGAAAAACCTGTTTACATTTTTTTTTTTCTCTCAATGCCTCGGGAGACACTGAATACTGATAGGATTGACTGACAAGGGAGAGCAGAAAAGTATTGCCACAGGATGTCCTTCTGTTCTCCCAAGAACAGGAACAGAGTGACGTGACAATGATGCAGGCGTGCCAACGTCACTGAGGAGGGTTTCCCTGCTTGGGACTGCGTCCTCAAGGATGGCATATCAAAGATGATAGCTGGAGGATTGGAGGTGGGTGTTACAAGAAGAGTAACACACATGAAGCAGCGCTGAAACAGTGGAAAGCTGAATAAATCTCTATAAAGGTCATACAAAGTTTTCTTTTTGTGAGTGAGTGTTACAATACAACTATTTAGTACATTATAAGCTGTATCACTCAGAGGAGGCTCTAGATTTTGTGATGTCTGAGTCACTTACAAATGAAGCCATTTAATTACCTCACCTTCCCCCAAACCGAAATAATTCCATTCCCACTTGCATTGAACATGCCCTTCTATGTCCCCATGTGCCCTTTGTGTCTGGGTTGTCAGGATCCACATTATGTATCCAATGACCCATCTAGTGCCCATGTTCCCAAGTCTCCCCTTGTGTCTATATCCCATTTTTCTTGTTGCTACCTACCCATATCCCTCCTAGTAGCTATGTGCCCATGTTTCCCCTGTCGTGTTTTGAAACATTGCAGAGAGCCATATGGGTGAGAGCTCTGAGGTAATCAGGACTCTTTATGCTAGGCGCGGGGGGTGCTTTGTGGAGGAGGCAGGAATAGAACAATACATCATATACCGTCTCTCTGTTGGCGCACCCAGCACTGATGTAATGAATCCTGTCAGAGCATGCTCTCAATTCCATGCTCAGCGGTCCATGGTATATTTAAAAAAATAAAAAATTACATTTGTATTTAATAAATATCTAGCTGGGCTGGAGAATGCTTCTGATTGTACTCTTGTGGCCTAATATCACTTTGAACTCACAACATTTATCTTCTCTGAATAATCCTTCTAGCCTAGAAGCAGTATATAAATGAAGTCAACCAATGATGATTCATCTAAATTGGTCTTCGTGAGATTTTAAGAATGGGAACCAGTGAGGCTTTAGAGCCAATGACTGGCTGTGATTATGATTGAATATCCATAGTTCAGTAAATAAAAAGATTCAGATTCCAATTCAAATAGTACTTACCTATAACGGCCACACATCCCAATGGTGCAATAAGTGTTGCCGGGGCAAATCCATACGCTGCAAAGTTGCCCAGTTCTCCGATGCCCATCACAATGATTCCACACCACCATAGCTTGCTTTTGTAGTAAGGGATAGGATCCTGTTGTCTTGCTAGTCGAAGATGCGTATATTTCTGAAAATGATACGGTTGTGACATGCATGTTAGATGTTCACCTTATTACCATTTTCTAAATTATGCACATTGAATATCGAGTTAGAATCCCATTTAGTGCCATCTAGGTTTTGCAAATCCCGGGAGAATGGAGATTCATTACAGGCTCCAGTAGCTAGAAAATTATTTATCGCTTACATCAGAGGGAATTAAATGGCAAGTCCACCAGCTGGAACAGTGTTATTAACTACAGAGACAAGGTACATATTTGTGACAAGTTTCTATTTATTACTGAAAGTAACAATTAAAGGGGAATTGTAAGTAATAAAGATCATTGTAGCGATTATGGTGCTTGGAGAATCCTGGCATCACCTTAGATTTAATATCAAACCTTTTACAAATGGTTTGACATAAACTGTCAAAGCTTCCCAGTCCACCATCTCGGCCGCATTGATATAATAATTGGCTGAAATTGCTGTGCTATCCAAATAATCTAAATAAGAATTCTAAGCCTACCAATGCAGTCCAGGTTGGATGAAACGGACATTGATTACACAGAAGTTTTAATTCCCCATTATCAGTGTGGCGGGAGAGGTGGTGGTCTCAGTATGCAGGGAAGATGTCAAACAACTTCTGAACAGTTTAACATTAAATTACAGTATAGAGAGTTGCAGTGCTTACGTTGCTTAGAGTAACATAGAAACATAGAATTTGACTGCAGATAAGAACCAGTCGGCCCATCTAGTCTGCCCAATTTTCAAAATACTTTCATTAGTCCTTAGTCTTATCTTATAGTTAGGATAGCCTTATGCCTATCCCACGCTGCTTAAACTCCTTTACTGTGTTAACCTCTACCACTTCAGCTGGAAGGCTATTCCATGCATCCACTACCCTCTCAGTAAAGTAATACTTCCTGATATTATTTTTAGACCTTTGTCCCTCTAATTTAAGACTATGTCCTCTTGTTGTGGTAGTTTTTCTTCTTTTAAATATAATCTCCTCCTTTACTGTGTTGATTCCCTTTATATATTTAAATGTTTCTATCATATCCCCCCTGTCTCGTCTTTCCTCCAAGCTATACATGTTAAGATCCTTTAACCTTTCCTGGTAAGTTTTATCCCGCAATCCATGAACCAGTTTAGTAGCCCTTCTCTGAACCCTCTCTAAGGTATCAATATCCTTCTGAAGATACGGTCTCCAGTACTGTGTACAATACTCCAAGTGAGGTCTCACCAGTGTTCTGTACAATGGCATGAGCACTTCCCTCTTTCTACTGCTAATACCTCTCCCTATACAACCAAGCATTCTGCTAGCATTTCCTGCTGCTCTATTACATTGTCTGCCTACCTTTAAGTCATCAGAAATAATCACCCCTAAATCCCTTTCCTCATATGTTGAGGTTAGGACTCTATCAAATATTCTGTACTCTGCCCTTGGGTTTTTACGTCAAGGATGCTTTATCTTGCACTTAAACATTGATTAACACCGCAGACCTGCAAATAGATATATACACATGCCACATGCTGTCAATTTCCTGTACAAGAAGAATGACGCACTGAGGAACATCTATTTGGAGGAGAAGCTGCATAGTTCCCTGGTATGTTTACATTGTATATTTGGGATAAGATTCTACGATCGTTCTCCGAATAGTAAATGCAGCTTAGGAAGCACAAAGCGGAGGTTAAGGCAAGGGTTTTGGAGACACTTTGTTAATACACATTTGGTTAGAGCAGGTGAGAGTCTTCAAAGACACCCACTTTAATATTGGTATGGAGGTATAGCTGCAAATTTTCATATAAAACAAACATAAAAACTGTAAAAACATTCAACATAGGTTATTGATATAAACAGCAAATTCGAGTCCTAGTACCTCGCCCCTAACTGCAAACACCAAGGGAACAGTTAATCCCTCTGGTAATTATTCGTGGTATTTAGCATTTGTCAGCATCAACAGAATTTAAAGATTTTGAACAATTTTGTAGACAGACTAGAAACCCACACGTCCCTACTATCCACTCACAAATGAAAAGACTGACTATTCTATTTACAAAAATTCTAGAAACAAATATGTATCTACCAGGGATGAATACAATTCAGTGTTTAGGGAATACCCCTGTCTTTTAGATTTTGTCATGGCCATTGACCTCTCACTATGTCCTACAGTTGTAGCTATTTAGTTGGCCGAAAAATCTTACCAGTTCTTTACATGTAGAGGTATAGAGCCACAGGCTACACTTTGCCGGATGAAGAGTAAAGTATATTTAATTGAGGTCCAAAAGATAAAACAGATATACAGCATGTCGTCCGTGAGGCCTTCATCATGTTCGTTGTATCTTTGTTTTGTCTTTTGGACCATAGTTAAATATACCTTATTCTTCACCGTGCGCTGTGCAGCCTGTGGCTCTATATTTCTGGTGTTATATTGGGAGCTAGCAGACGCCCCTCACGGAGCTCCGGGGTATTAAGATACGGGGGTGCAGCACTCTACTATCTGGCTAGCTCTTTATATATAGTATCTGTAAAGATTTCTTGGGTCTCCAGTAGAAATGTGTAAATACCATGAAATCTTGGTTAAGATTCTCAGTACTTCTCTTAAATGTCTAAGTCAACCTCAGCTGATCTTTAGAATGATAATCTTAATTGTAGTGAATAGAAAAACAAAATGGAAACTTGAAGCTGAAATAGAAACTTGTAACTAGAAAACAAATTGTAAAAACCAGATGATTTAAGAAAAAAATAATAATCTCCAATGCAGCTACAATTCAGTCAAAGCTTGGGCTTTATTATCCAAATTCTTCCAATTCGGTTTTCGATAGACTAGATAGTGTATACAAATCCCATTTTGCTAATCATTGGACTAACAAAATCGATTTGTTCATTCAGCAAGTAACAGGCATTTAATTTGTAAAGCACATATCCTGTTTAGCTGCACAGAAATCAATTTTTCAATACATGACAATTCCAGGGTAAGTTAAAGGGACACTCCAGGCACCCAGACCACTTCTGCCCATTGGAGGTCTGGGTGCCAACTCCACTACCCTTAACCCTGCAACTGGAATTATTGCAGTTTTAATGGTTAAGTCCTCCCCTAGTGGCTGTCTATTAGACAGCCACTACAGGGCACTTCCTGGTTAACTCCTGTGCTATAGAGTCGCTGGACGTCCTCACGCCGTGTGAGGACCTCCAACGTCGCTAAAATCCCCATAGGAAAGCATTGAAAAGCATTTTCAATGCTTACCTATGGAGAGGTCTAATGAGCATGCACGGCATTGCCGCGCATGCGCATTAGGTCTCACCAGCTGGTGGGCGGGATCAGTCTCCCCCGCCGGCTGACGTAATGAAGGGGAGGAGCGGCGGCAGGAGGAGCAGCGACGTGGGACATGTCGCTGCCTCTGGTAAGTGACTGAAGGGGTCAATCATTGAAAAAGTGCCTCAAAACCCATCTCTTTAGGAAAGCTTATGGCCTCCCAGAGTAACCTCTACCTCACATATCTGTCCATTGCTCTCTCCTAAAGGGCAGCACTCTATTCTCTCCTCCACCTCTGCTTCATTCCCACCTTGTTTGATTGCTATTTCCTGTCCTGTTGTGTTTTACACCCCATCTCCTATAGACTGTAAGCTCATTTGAGCAGGGCCCTCTTCAACCTATTGTTCCTGTAAATTTTTGTAATTGTGTAATTTATTGTTAAATCTCCCCCTTTGATAATATTGTAAAGCGCTACAGAATATGCTGGCGCTATAAAAATATCAGTAATAATAACAATAATCATAACCGTTTAAATCAAATATTCTGATTGTCATTGCCTTGTTTAAAGTCTTGCTTTATGCCAGTGACTGCCCTTTACTTAGGAAGCCCAAGCAACTCTTTTTTTTGTAAGGATAATCAGAACACCATGACAGTCTTAAACTCCATCATTCATATCATATAACAAAGAAACCATGTTGCGCCGAACATAAATTCTCATATATATTTATATAATGCCTCGTTTTCTCTGTGTTTTCATAACCATACCATTGGCTCAAATTACTACATGATCAGTATTCTATTTGTGTTTATTTATTTCAATATCCCTCACACTGAAAGACTGAGGACCATTATCCTGAGCGGGGATTGTACGGACATTCACTGGTTATATAAGAGCTTGTATGAAGCTCTACTGAATGTGAGAGCAATTTTTGTCCCTCTCTTTACTATCCATTTGTACTGACACACTACCACATTGGACATTCTCTATATTTACCCTACATACACAACTGAGGAGTATGGAAAAAGAAAAACCAAGATACTAACAAAGATTCAGGCTTTTCCCTCTTGTCATTGTATATATATATATATTACACATACATACATACACACATATACATATACGTACACACACACACACACATAAACACACGTATATACATACATACGAGAATTTCTGCTAGGTGCAATCTGGTTTCTAGGGATGTGCACGGGAAAAAAATTTGGTTCGGTTTGGCATTCCGGACATTCGGAAGAATCCGAATGTCCGAAATTCTTGCAATTTGGCATTCAGAACGAAACTAATTGCACATGTCTACTGGTTTCTTTGTTACAGTTTTCTGTATATGTTTTGGGTGAGGAGGGAACATTATTCTCAGTGTCTGCTGCCTGTATAGATTCAGTTTAGCGCTATATCCGTATTTCATTGTTTGCTATTTTCCTTCATTGGAATCAGCTTGTTTACTTAAGCGGATATAACTGCGCAGCTGCTACTGCTTCTGCTATACAACAATTCAAACTAGCAAGGATCGTGGCAATTCACATAATATTAGAACAAGTTCTCAGGAGACAGCAGTCAGCCTAACTCATTGCAGGGGAAGCAGTCTGATGTGAATAATGTACTTGTGCATACGTAGTTACAATGTTACCTGTGAGATATATAGGTGTATAAGTAAATAATAATGTAAATATAGGTGTGCACATGAAAAAAAAAATATTTAAGAAGATAAATATTCATCAACATCACAGTGATATAATAATAAATCAATACAAAAAATAAAATCATACACCTAATTGTATTAACTTGACTCTAAAGACTAAAAAAAAAAAAGAGACAAAAAAAGGCAACTAAAACTCTTTCTGGAAAATCAAAGCTGGTCTGTGCTTGCCACATGAGCTGTTCTATAAGCCGGCTTTCTGATGGCCACACTCTGCATTTACACGTGAAATATTCTAAGTATGTAAACATAATTATATAGAGAGGAGCGGACTCTACAAGTCTTGCCCACATTGCAGGGTACTCTGATGCCCACATTGCAGGGTACTCTGATGCCCACATTGCAGGGTACTCTGATGCCCACATTGCAGGGTACTCTGATGTCTGCATTTCCTGATCACACAATCACATTCATTATTTTATTACCTGCAGATTAAGAGAAATGCTGATCAGGAAGCTTCCAGCGATTGACAAAATAATGCCAAAGATTTGATTCTGAAAAGAAACGAACAAAGTTATAGGGACAACCGATACAACTAACCAGAGAAATGGGCATTTATAGGAAATTATATTAGTTGTGTTTTCCTTTTAAATGTAAAACAATTCATAAACAACACATTATTGTTTGGGTTTTAATGAACATTCTAAATATATGTTCTACATAAAATCCCAATAGTCGTTGAATAAAACATTAAATGGATGCACCTTGTGGGAATTAATTTGGCTTTTTAATGCACTATGGTATGGAGATAATGTAGAAAATAGATCCAAACAAAACAATATATTCGAGAGACATTGCTTAATTCGTGAAGACATAACTAAAACAGACAGACGTGGTTAGAATGCAGTATGATTTTGCTATGAGACAGAAAAATAAACCATAAAGTAAAACCTCCAGTTTAACTTAACATTCATTGTGCTTGCAGCATTCTCTAAGCCAGGGCTGCCCAAAAAGTAGATCCCCAGCTGTTGTAGAACTACAACTCCAGTGATGCTTTGCTTGACTTTAGAATGCCTTCCGAATGACAAAGCATCATGGAAGCTGTAGTTCTAAAACATCTGGGGGGGGGGGGATCTACCATTTTGACACGCATGCTCTATGCAGATGTCTGAGAACACACGAACACTCCAGTTGCTTAATGGGTAATAGTGTCGCCCAGGACACAGGTGCTGTTGAAGAAAGCTTGTTTAAGAATTAGCTCTGATGAGTAAGTGCCTTATCAGTGTTCACTTGGGCCAGCTAAAGTCACAGTTTCTCTTAAAGCCATAGTCATGCACTAGAGGTATGCCCAGTACACACTAATAAGAACTAAGAAAATATATACAAAAATAACCTAAAACATATTAAATACCAGCCTCTGGCGGTAAGGCTAAGAATTCAATATCCAGGTAAAATAAAACTGACAAAGGGTTCTGTAAAACAACATATATTCTTAGTCTTTATTGGTTTTGAGTGTTTGGTGAAGCAATCTGCAGGAAGATCCTATTGTCACGTTTATCTGGTGTGTTGTGATAATTACCGTTTGTACTTATTGCACACCTCAATGAAGGGATGGTTTTGTTGGACAGAAACTTCCACAATGCTCAGCTAGTGCCTGTCTGAGGTTGGTGGCAATTCAAATACACAGCAGCAGATACACTTGCAGAATTATGCAACATCTTGCTCACAAACTTGGGTGGAATACGACGCCAAACAAGCTCAGTCACTTATTAGCTGAACAGAAAGAAAGGGATAGGGTCGCACTCAGCCACAGCAATTCAGTCCAGGGTGCTACTGAGTATGGGTCAGCAAAAACCCAAAGAATATATACAAACAGAAAAATCCTAGGCACTCACTGCGAATTGTATGCAGGCAGATTTATTGCAACGTTTCGACCTGTCAAGGTCTTTATCAAGCTAGATTTTAAATCTAGCTTGATAAAGACCTTGACAGGTCGAAACGTTGCAATAAATCTGTCTGCATACAATTCGCAGTGAGTGCCTGGGATTTTTCTACTTATTAGCTGAACGTGAATGGAGTTTTTATTCCACAAACATTCGAATAGAAAAAAATGTATTAAACCATAAAATCTAGTTCTATTGTGTGTTTCACAGAGCTTCTCAATAATGAAACTTTTACTGCTTCTACTTGGTAGACACACGTTCTTCCTGATGTATTACATTTTTTATTGTAATTGACCTACCTCTTATAATGTGTAGCGTGGCTGAGCTGGGCAGAATCCTCCTGATATATGTGCTGAGCTGTCAATAAGCCCAGCCTTATCACTAGAAAGCCAGTTCATGGCCACACTGGGGAGCAGTAATATGATATCCATCATGTGCCTGACCCCTTCACACAGCCACCAGCACAAACCAGAGACTGAGGCTGTTAAGATTGAAAGGGGCTACAACTCAGCACCACTACACACAGTAAGGGTGAGGAGGAGATAGAGAACAAAGCAAAGTGGGCATGCTGGCTCCGGAATTATTTTAACTCCCCCCAGCAGAACTGCCAGTGGTCCGGACAAGCATTCATAAATCTGTGCGATGTACACAAAGACCCTGAATTCCCAACCAGCCCCAGGACAAATAATAATACATTACATATTATAGTCCAGGTGCTTTTCGGTGGCCCACTCGGGGCTCTAGCCCAGTTTGTCCCCTGGCACCCCTCGTGCTTCTTCTGTCTTTGTGTGAGATCCTCATCTTAGCTCACACAGGAGGCTGACGGCAGGGCACAATATCTCACTGCTTCACATCTCTCAGAAGGACCAACTGCACTGCAAATCCTAACAAACACTTTGCTGAACATGAGATAGGGTGAAATATTTTAGGAAGGCTGAACGAAGGCTGTGTGATTGATAGGCAAGGAAAGTGTGGCCAGGACTGCAAACATAAATTCATTTAAATGCTAAACAGCAGAGAACCCAGCTGCAGGGGCATGGTGTACCAAAACCAGTTCATAAAACTGAAGTGGTGTTGGGGCTTACAATGACCCTGTAAATCACTACGTTGTAAGAAACACATGAGTCACCTTCTAAGCATTAATAGAAGAGGGAATCAAAACTTCATATCCAAATCAAGGCCACTTTGCATTCAGAGGTCGGTCGTGTCATATTTGAGCTATAAACTCTTACAAATGACACCAACACATCCTGTGTTTCAGTTTCTCAAAATCTTCTGGAGTTTTCAGCTCCTTATCTCAATTACTAGAAGCAACAAAGCTTCAAATAGGTTGATGAGGAACCTGCTCAAACGCATGTGCCGTATTTCTCTGTGTTGCGCCAATCAAATGCTAATTGAGAATCAAGTTTAATTCGGTTCTCAATGCGGAAGCACCTCTAGTGGCTCTCTGGAAGAAGTGTTGACCCTGAAGTGTGTACATTGCAGTTTCCACAAAACTTCAATGTTTTAAACTAATTAAACTACATGGCCTCTACATCTAGATCATTTCATTGAGATAAAGTAGCTGGGATGACTTTAGTGGTCCTTTATACAGAACAATTAAGTAATATGGCTTACAAAGTTATTTGTTTCTATTCTAATAAAAAACATTAAGTAACTAGAACAAGTGAATGAGGATCAATTGTAACTAATTTGCCAGTTGCTGTACAGCAAGCATGTGAAACTCGCGGCCCATAATTAATATCTTTGCGGCCTAGCGACCCGTGAGTTTGACAAGCTTGCTGTTAAGGCAGAGTAGGCACCTGCTCTCCCCACATTGCAGGTGCCTACTCTGCTAAACTTTACCGGGTCGGGGGAGAGGACGCTGTAGGCAGCAAGGGAGCTCAGTCTGTTCTTCCTTCTCTTCACTCCTCCCTCGTGCACGCCCTCTGTAGTGATGCCGGTCGGGTGCTGGAATATGACATGATTCCGGCCCAGCATTACTAAACTGTGTGTGTGAGGGAGCAGTGAGGGAGCAGGAGGGAGATCTCCAAAGAGAAGATCCCCACTTGACCCCAGGGAGAGGCCCTGTGAGGAACTGACTCTGCTGGGTTTCGAACCCTGGTTTACATGGTGCTAAACCTGTTCATTACCAGTACACCAGCCTGCCTTTTGCAAATTTACCTGAGATCTGATACCATTGCTTGTAGAGTCAAGGTTATCAGTGACAACTCACTTCAGCTGTGTCTAGTCAGGTGTCTGGTTCTTGGCCTATAAAAGCCACTTCCTGTCTCTTTACCTTTGCCAGATTATTGTGGTTCCTGTACTCTCTAATCCAGCGTGTTCCTGTTTCTCCTTCCTGTTGCTGAATTTGGACTGTTTTGACTTTGCTGCTTCTCCTTCCCACTGACCTCGGCTTGCCTGACTACGATTATCATCTTTCTGTTCCAGTCTCCCATCTCTGCTTAAGACCAGAAGGCCACTCAAGGCTCAGGGGCTCAACCACCTGGGTAACGAGTGGCTACCTCTGGCAGAAAACATTGCTGATCTGGCTACTGGACTCCAAAACTTTGTAACATCAATATCATTACAGAATAATCTGGCCCATTCATGGAGACCGTCGGATCAGATTCTGCATTGGCCCAGCAGGTTGCTTTTAATGCAAGAACTATGCAGACCCAGGCACAGACCATTCAAGTGCTGCAGGATCAGGTAGCTGAACTGCAAAATGAAGTTCGATCAATGCATAGTGAGCTTACCAGCTACAGGGCACATGATGTTGCGGCTGCTGCTACTACTACTGTTACACCTGCACAAGATGCCCGCTTGCCTCTACCAGAAAAATTTGGAGGAGACCGCAAAAAATTCAGGGGTTTCCTAAATCAATGCCGTTTGCATTTTATGATGTTACCTAACCGTTTTCCATCTGAAAGAGAGAAGGTGGGATTTATTTTTTCCCTCTTCAAAGATGAAGCCCTGGCCTGGGGCTCCCCTTTTCTGGAACAGGACAGTCCAATCTTGGGAAATTTAAAAGACTTTCTTGAGGCCATGTGCCTAGTTTTTGATGATCCCAATCGCTGTGCTACAGCAGAAGCCACTCTCCTTCATTTACATCAAGGGAGGCGCTCTGTGGCTGAATATGCTGCTGAATTCAGACAGTGGGTTACTGATACTACTTGGAACCAATCAGCCCAGAGGTTCCACTTCAGAAGGGGTCTCTCAGAAGCTATAAAAGATGAGCTAGCTCGTGTTGATCTTCCTGTTGAGTTTGATGCATTTGTGCGGTTGGCTATCCGTATTGATCGGAGACTTTCAGAAAGAAGATTGGAAAGACAGGGCTCTTTTAAACCAAGTGCTACTCCTACTTTCTATTCAAGAATTTCTACTCCGACCCCACAAACACCTACAGACTCTGAACCTGAGGCTATGCAAGTAGATCTAATAAGAGGGCCATTATCCAATGAAGAAAAACAGTGGCGACGCACTCACAACTTATGCCTGTATTGTGGTAGTGCAGGGCATTATGCCATCAAGTGCCCTAACAAGTCTAAAAGAACAATAGCTATGACTGCTGAGGGTGCACAGATTCAACACCAATCCCAGATTTCAGACCAACTGGATTCTGTCACACAACCCTTGTTTTCTCTGGCTCAGGGTGAAGAAGGTATGATGACTCAACATCCTCATTTGGTGGTGCCTATCACTTTGCAATATGGTAATAATACAATTTCAACTACAGCTATGATAGATTCCGGAGCAGGAGGAAACTTTATGGACATTAAATTTGCAGCAGGAAATAAAATTCAGTCTATCCCTAAATCTTCACCTGTGTTAATGGAAACAGTAGACGGTTCTCCACTTACGTCAGGCCCGGTTACACATGAGACTGTGCCCTTAAAATTGATTCTGGAAGTGAATCACCATGAGTCTATATCTTTCCACCTAATTTCCTCAACACAGTTTCCAGTGATTTTGGGTATACCCTGGCTTGCTCTGCATAACCCACAGATTGATTGGAAGACTAGAACTTTGTCCTTTCCTTCAGAACACTGCTTAATGAATTGTCAACCCTCTAAGGCGACACCTGTTACCACAACAATTAATGAAATGGTTGCTACAAACTTAACTAAGCTTCCGCTACAATATCAGGATTTTGCAGATGTCTGTGATAAGAAGAATGCTGATCAGCTTCCACCTCACAGGCCTTATGATTGCCCCATAGAGCTGCTACCTGGAGCTGCTATCCCATTTGGCCGTATATACTCCCTTTCTGAGCCTGAATTGAAAGCACTTCGTGAATACATACAAGAAAATCTTGCCAAAGGCTTTATTCGACCATCCACTTCTCCAGCAGGAGCTCCTATATTCTTTGTAGAAAAGAAAGATGGCAGTCTACGGCCTTGTGTCGATTACAGGGACATTAATAAAATCACTGTTAAAAACCGTTATCCCTTGCCTCTCATTCCTGAACTTCTGGAGAGACTTCGTTCAGCTAAAATATTTACGAAGCTTGATCTACGGGGGGCATATAATCTGGTTCGCATAAGACCAAATGATGAATGGAAAACAGCTTTCAGAACCAGGTACGGACATTACGAATATCTAGTAATGCCATTTGGGCTTTGTAATGCCCCTGCAACTTTTCAGCATCTAATCAATGATGTACTACGGGATCTCCTGGATCAGTTTGTTGTGGCATATTTGGATGATATCCTGATATTTTCTGATAATCTTGAAAATCACAGAAAACAGGTCTGCATTGTTCTTGAGCGCCTTCGTACCCACCACCTATACATTAAACTGGAAAAATGTGAGTTTGAACAAACAGAAATTCAGTTCCTGGGGTATGTAATAACTCCTAAAGGTTTAAGTATGGACGCAAGTAAAATTAAAGCTGTGCTGGACTGGCCCATCCCCAAGAATGAAAAAGATATACAGAGATTTGTGGGGTTTGCCAATTTTTACAGGCGTTTCATTAAGAATTTCTCTGCCGTTATTACACCGATCACTGAACTTACACGTAAAGGGACTCCTTTTCAGTGGTCCAATAAGGCTGACACTGCATTTTCCAGATTAAAGACTCTGTTTACATCTGCCCCTATCTTGGTACATCCTCAGCCAGAATTGCCATTTACTGTAGAGGTAGATGCTTCTGATTCAGCTGTTGGGGCTATACTATCTCAAAGGACTGGACCTAAGATGTTGTTACATCCATGTGCCTTCTATTCCCGCCAGATGTTACCAGCAGAAAGAAATTATGACATAGGGAATAAAGAACTTTTGGCTATAAAAGCTGCCTTCACCGAATGGAGACATCTCTTGGAGGGAGCCACCCATCCAATTACTGTCCTCACAGATCACAAAAATCTGGAATGTATCCAATCCGCTAAGAGACTGTCAGCCAGACAAGCACGCTGGTCCCTATTTTTCTCAAGGTTTAATTTTTTTATTTCATACCGCCCTGGTTCCAGAAATGGCAAGGCGGATGCCTTGTCTAGGATAGCTGACCCCCTCCATACTACAGTAACCAAGGCCACCATCTTGCCGGAGAGCAGATTTTTAGGAGTTACCTTTCCTTCTGATCTAATGTCTCGCATTAAAAAGGGCTACTCTAAAGATCCAGTTTTTCGTGATCCTCCTCGTGATCTTCATATGACCATGCTTAATGGGTTTTGGATTTTTCAACAACGTCTGTTTGTTCCAGAATCAGTGCGACTGGACGTTTTACGCCTCTACCATGACTCTAAACCAGCAGGTCATCCAGGAATCCGAAAGACACAAGAACTACTTACCCGATCCTTTTGGTGGCCTAAATATTATGAGGATGTTAAGAAGTATGTGTCCTCTTGTGATGTATGTGCCAGACATAAGACTCCTCGCTCATCCCCTGTTGGCTTGCTTCAGCCTCTTCCGATTCCTCATCGTCCCTGGGGATCTATATCCATGGACTTTATTGTGGAACTACCTCCCTCTAAGGAACACACTACTATTCTTGTTGTTGTGGACCGGTTAACCAAGATGAGTCATTTCATACCAGCTCGTGGTCTCCCTTCAGCTAAACAGACTGCTGACCTTGTTATTCGGGAAATATTTCGCTTGCATGGAGTGCCTGATGAAGTAATTTCTGACAGGGGAGTGCAGTTTACATCTCATTTTTGGAAATATTTTTGTTCTATTCTAGGTATTAATGTAAATCTGTCTTCAGCTTTTCATCCACAAAGTAATGGACAGACTGAGCGAACCAACCAGACTTTAGAACAATATTTGCGGTGCTATATTAGTTACCTGCAGGATGACTGGCTGGATTTTCTACCCACGGCGGAGTTTGCCTATAACAATGCCCAACACTGCTCCACTTCTCTGAGCCCATTTTTTGCCAATTATGGTTACCATCCAACCTTTCTAGTGAGTCTCCCAATTACTACTCCCATTCCTGCAGTCACTGACCGGCTAACCGCCTTACGAGATTCCCAAGAACTGTTGAAGGAGACTCTTTCGGAGGCTCAGGAATGTTACAAAAGAGCTGCTGATAGGCACAGAAAGGAGGCCCCAGTTTATCATGTTGGTGACAAGGTTTGGCTGTCAACAAAGAATCTTAAGCTTAGGATTCCTTCTCATAAATTGGGTCAAAAGTTCATGGGACCTTTTAAGATAATCGCTCAGATCAATGCAGTCACCTTCCGTCTGCAACTTCCGGATTCCATGAAAATACATCCGGTGTTTCACGTGGCACTGCTTAAACCTTTTCATGAAAATACTTTCCCTGGTCGAGCCTTGCCTGCCCCACCACCAGTCCTCGTGGATGGTGAAGATGAATACGAGGTGGAAAAAATTCTTGACTCCAGGATCTTCCGCAACAAACTTCAATACTTGGTTCATTGGAAAGGCTATGGTGAGGAGGATAGATCATGGGAACCAGTGGACAATATTCATGCTCCTGATCTTCTTCAGTCTTTCCATGCACAGTACCCTGCTAAACCAGGAAATAGGGCATCCAGAGGCTGCGCCTGTAAAGGTGGAGGTAATGTGAGGAACTGACTCTGCTGGGTTTCGAACCCTGGTTTACATGGTGCTAAACCTTTTCATTACCAGTACACCAGCCTGCCTTTTGCAAATTTACCTGAGATCTGATACCATTGCTTGTAGAGTCAAGGTTATCAGTGACAACTCACTTCAGCTGTGTCTAGTCAGGTGTCTGGTTCTTGGCCTATAAAAGCCACTTCCTGTCTCTTACCTTTGCCAGATTATTGTGGTTCCTGTACTCTCTAATCCAGCGTGTTCCTGTTTCTCCTTCCTGTTGCTGAATTTGGACTGTTTTGACTTTGCTGCTTCTCCTTCCCACTGACCTCGGCTTGCCTGACTACGATTATCATCTTTCTGTTCCAGTCTCCCATCTCTGCTTAAGACCAGAAGGCCACTCAAGGCTCAGGGGCTCAACCACCTGGGTAACGAGTGGCTACCTCTGGCAGAAAACATTGCTGATTTGGCTACTGGACTCCAAAACTTTGTAACATCAATATCATTACAGGCCCAACACCAGGTCCCAAAAGTAGGGAGCAATAAATAAAATGGTTTGTGAGTGTGTGCAAGAATGTGTAAATGTGTGTGACTGTCCGTGAGTGTGTTTCACGGAAAGTGTTTTTCAGTGTTGTGATGGCGGTGGCTGGACAGTGGAGGACCAGGAGGTGCACAGAGGCAGGCAACGCCAGGTCACACTCTGACGTGACGTCAACATGCTCCACCTTCACAGGGTTTCAAGTAGTAGCGGGAGGATCCACTTTGGCAAAGGGTGTGGATGGCGTCTTTGGGTGTATACTGGACTCTGGAGTCGCATACTGGCAGCGGATACGTACTTGTTGGCTAATAGGGTTTTTTTTTTTTTAAAACAGGGGGCTGGGATTTAGTATAGAGGGGGGGCTGGGGTTTTGTAGAGGAGGGGATGCTGTTTTAAAAAAATAAAATAAATAAACCTAAGTTTTTTTTTGTTTTGTTTTTTACAGCCCACATAAACGTAAACCTTGTTTGTTTATTTGGCCCGTGCTAGCCTTTGAGTTTGACATGCTTGCTGTATAGCAAATAGATTATTACTATACTGAAGGGCCTTAGAGCTAGCTCACAAAATTTTCAGGTATGTTAAGTTTGTTACTGTATTCCTTCCAGGCTTCTTAGCAGTACATACATTTTCCAAACTGTGGTATTCGAGCACGCACCAAACAGAATTACCAGCAGAAGCTATACTATTTGCACAGCAAAGGAGACACAGAAAGGACAAACACTGCAGGGTGGAGACTGCAATAAGAACGTCAAAAAAACAAAGTCAACATATCGCATTGTATAATACACATAGACTGCAAATAAAGACTTTCTATCACCCTGTAAGTGTAATGCATGATTCAGGCATATGGTAAGGAATTTGGAGTTTCACGTAAACTTTTACACACATTATATTTGTTACATTTAGTATGAGAAGAAGGCATCTCTTTAGCTTGAGGTCTAGATGCGGTGTTCTTTAAAGCACACCTATAGTGTTAGGAATACAAACGTGTAACTAACACTATAGTCCTAAAGTGGCTGTTTAGGTCCCTAGCCCTGCTATGAGTGAAATGAAAAGGTGATTTTACTAACCTTTTGCCTCTCGCCATGCCAGTGTCGCCGCGGATGGCCCCACCTCCATGATCTCGGCCAATTCACTAGAGGAAGCACCTCTATTGGCCGTCTGATGTGACTGCTCCTAGAGGTGATACTATGAAACTCTGCCATTTCTCTTACATGCCTGCATGGAACGGTTATAGACACCAAAACCACTACATTAAGCTACAGTAGTTCTGGTGACTATAGTGTCCCATTAAGCTTTTATTCTAAACCCTGTTTACTGCTTCACTATTCCAATATTAAACAATTATTTAATGGGTATACATACACCTGTTCATGGAGGGACAAAGGAGGACAATCTTTCTTTTAGGTAAACACTGATGTTAATTTGCCCATAAGGGTCAACAAAACTTAATCTGTTTGCATCCCAGCTAGAAAGGTCACACTCCCACCAAGAAAGATAAAGCTCACTTTGTTTATTATTGTAGGATTTAGGCCCTAGTTACAAAGTGCTATGGAATTGAAGGCGGTTATCGTGACAAATCTTCAGTTAACTTGCTATGACATCAATGAGAATATACGGACCTTATTTTAATCTCCAGGGCTTTCCAACGGGCCTGAATGGACACTCCAAACATCATATTCCCTACAGTTTATTGCAGTAGTTATGGTGCTAAGAGGCTAGCCTGAGAGGTTATAATGAAGTTTCACTTCTTCATTTTCTGTCCAAGATTTTGTACAATGAAAAGATGGAAGCAGAGGGTTGCACTGGGATTTCGCTGGGGCAAATGTGTTCCCACTCCTAGACTTACACTTAAACCAATGGATCTAGCTCTAGATAGTCAGGATAAAGCAGACTCCTATAAAATTACATCAGTTTGTAAAATCTAAAAAGGTATGTCTGCACAGCAACAAAGGTGTTCAACATTATTACTATTATGTTATTATTTATATAGCGCCAAAAAAATTTGCAACACTTTACATTGGGTGGACGAACAAACCAGACAAGTTGGACGCATAGGAACAGAGGGGTTGAGGGCCCTGCTCGATGAGCTTACATGCTAGAAGGAGTGGGGTATAGTGACACAAAAGGTAAGGATAGTATTAGACTAATGACAGTTGCAAAAGGCTACTACACAAACTGAAAGATATCTGAAAATGACAGTGCCAGAACATTGTTGTTGTTAATATAAATGTCCAGGTTCCCTCTTCTTTAAAGTGCTCGTTAAAATATTTACATCCTATCAAGTTTGCATTACTTTGTTTTTGGCAGGTTCAAGAATTGCTTTCAGTACCCAAAGCAACTTCGCTACCGAGGAATGCTGGTAAATTGAATGGAAGAAGCACAATGTGCCAATGTAAACACAATAAATGATTTGGCAAGTGCTATAGATAAAAGATTTAGCACTAGTGTGGAAACCGTGCCAAGTCAGTCCTGAGCCATAGGTGTGAGTAGTAAGATATTGTCATGCATAGACACGGGATATTAAATCTCAGCATGGAAAGTGTATAATGTGGGATCTACTTGAGTATCCCACTAGACTTATTGTCCACAGATCTTTTCATACAAGTGCACGGATGTTATAGGCAGTTGGGTTTGCATGAAAGGAATACTCAGAAGTTAAAAATAAATGCATTTACTACTTTCCTCTGATCAAACAGCGAGACCCCCCTACCTGAAGCTCTTAGCTTCTCTTCCATATCCCACCGGGCCATTTTTGCACGGATTTACTTGGGCAAGCTGGGCGCTTTCTGTAGATTAATAATTTGGAACATTTTTCGAACAGTAATGAATATTTGAAAAGTTTATTAAATTGAGGTCTACAGGGGAACAAAGTTCTCCTGAAGCGCTCTCGGGTAGTCCTAGTTCTTTGCTGTCTGGAAAGAGTTCCCTGGTGTCCCCAAATGTGGGACACCAGGGAACTAAATTGGAACCAAGGGACAGTATGGATCCCCGTTGGAGGTATGCTTGTTATAGTACTTTCTATGAAAAGGTTTCTCTAATTAGGCCCAATATAATCATCGGCACCAGGCCCAACGTGCTCCTAATCCAGCCCTGCCCAAGCAAGCACTGTCACAGGGTGACATATAAACACATTTACCCTGACTTCATTCAACTTCACACAATGATACACTAATTGTGCCCATGTGGTGAGCTGTTGTGTTCATCCTGGACATGTTAAGTCAGTGAGTGAGAGAGATGTGATATGACACTACATCATTGTGCCTGGGATAAATGGAACTCTAAAAAGAGTGATCTGTCTTCAACTGAAAGATTTTTCCAGATCTTTTCCTTAACTTTTAGATGAATAACGCAACATGGTGGAACAGGACCTAGCGCAATACATTTATTAAGGGTATTGTAAAAAAAATTTAAAAAATCTAAATCTATAGGTTTTGAACATTTTCCTGCAGTTCCTCAAAAGCGGCTCAAAGTCTAAAATGTTATATGGACAACGGAGTCCTTTTTCGGCAGACAGGAAGGAAACTATATCTGAATAAGAAATAAAAAGACACTGGTCAATGGCATGCATGCACATCTCTGCATAACAATGGGACATCTTGTGCCCCAGGATAATATGGTAATGAATCCAGCTCTGACCACAGGCAATAAATAACCTGACAAAAGGTCCTTTCTACTATTTAACCCCATGGTATCAACACAGTAGGCTGACTGGATTGTTTTTTGTTGGGTTTTTTTTTTTGGTTTTTTTTCTTATCTTCCCGGGCAGACATCTTGCTGAGTCTTCATTTCTTTTAATTTATTTGATCCACTAAATGTCCCTTGGTTACTTCTACTGCAACCAAATAAGAACATAGGGTGACTAGAGACTCCCTTAAATTACAGTCACATTTTCTGCACCCAGTTCTTTTATAACGGGGTATTTCACCTCCAATTAGAACAGTGTGATCAAATATTGAGAATCTGTTTGGAGGAAGAATACACTTTTAAAATGTCTGTTTTAGTTATTTACTAGTAAACTTCACATTTTACGCCACAATAGCCAAATTGGGAACAATTCTACAACTCAACGATCTTTGAATATTTTTGGTCCAAAACTTGAAATTCTATTTGAATACACAGTTTAGCTTAAACACCCATAGGAATTTATTTTTGGTCATATTTATTTCATTGTACGTAAATCTCTTCCATATTATATTCAGTCTTAGAAAATTATTGAGGAAACAAAAAAAATTGTAATGCTCTAAATGCACACACAGCTGTGTTCGTATACAAACTGGACACACAGGTGGAAAAAAGTTATGAAAACTTTGGCAAATTCGATAAATTCAAGAAACTGCAAATTATAGGCCAACATAGCCAAGCTGGACAAATAAGTGATTAAGATAATTCTTCCACTGTGCCTATTTGAATTTTTTTTTTTTTTTAAATAAAATCTAGATAATCTGCCCATATATATTTTTTTTAAAACGCACACACAAGCACTTTTCACTGCACCACGGTTAGTGTAAAATTAACACATTAGAATATGATTTTAGGCTAACTTTTTTTCCATTCTGCTAGTTTGGCCTGAAATTTCAGATTCTTTCATCTGTTTTCTGCAAATCGCAGTACAGTGAGACCGCCATCAGCAGACACAAAATCTAAATGATATATTTAGTATTTTACTTTTCTGGTTAGTAATTAATTTATTGATTTAAAAAAAAAAAATGTTTTATATAGATAGATATATCCCTTCTTCCATGTCCTAAGCAGTCAGGTTACTAAGCAGTCACATATGTTTTTTTTTTAATGTTCCTTCCAAACCCTCAGTGTATTTGTAACACATCAGAACACAAACTTCCTTTCCATAGAATGCTCAGTATCACTCCAATAATTCTTCCTCTGCAGTACCCCCGCATTTAAAAGGTTAATTCGTGCGTCACTAACCTGCTGTGTGGTTTTGTACAAGTCAGACACACCTGTGCTGTTCTCACCCATCTGATCAAGAGTGTCATTTTCTTGTAGGAAATCCATGGGCCACTGCAGCCCACCTTCCCTTGGTCACAGAGGGTTTGAGGGATAGCTTTTCATAGGATCCTGGCATGGGTTCCCATCCCTTTGGGCGAGTTAGAGGGAAGCCAGCTGGCCTGCAGTGTTTGTGTGGCAGAGAAACTCCCTGTTAGCAATCACTTCCTAGGAGGGTGTGAGATGGAGCTAATCTATTTGTGACACACCCTCTGCCTGAACAGCAGGACTCCAGCTACTGGCTCACTATGTCCCTTCAGTGCAATGTGCTCAGAGCAACAGGCTTCACAATTGAATTAAGAAAGCACTATAGCAGATCAGGTTATTGTCAGCTGAACAGGACAGCCAGAAAATCCAGACTAGCACACATTTATACTGACAGGGTAATGTGTGGGAATAAAGGAGCACAAAATAAATGTATTATAAATATACATTATAATGATTGATGTACAATGGGGATAGTCCTGAGACCAAATAGTTACCTAATATGATGAAAACCTTAGGTAAGGTTCTCTTAGTATGAGAAGTGAACAGAAAATGAACCATATTTTTGGATGTTTGACTCCAGTGACCAAGCAGTGAGTAATATTGTGAGATTTTATACTTGCTGGTATTTCCTACAGGCTGTGCTTAGACATACAGAAATGGGAAACCTGGAATTGTTCAGAGTTCACAAGGGCATTGCAATGGTTGTGCCAAAAATGAATGAACTTGGGGGAAAATAGCTGAGTTTTGAGAATTACTTCCAGTTCAGTTATTTTGACCCAAATGTGGTTGTTGTTTTTTTTTTGTGTGTGACTTCTTACCCCTTAAGGATCAGACTGTTTTGGCCATGTTGTACGTTAAAGGACCACTCTAGGCACCCAGACCACTTCAGCTTAATGAAGTGGTCTGGGTGCCAGGTCCAGCTAGGATTAACCCTTTTTTTAATAAACATAGCAGTTTCTCTGAAACTGCTGTTTATCAATGGGTTAATCCAGCCTCCAAATCCTCTAGTGGCTGTCTCATTGACAGCCGCTAGAGGCGCTTGCATGATTCTCACTGTGAAAATCACAGTGAGAACACGCAAGCATCCATAGGAAAGCATTATGAATGCTTTCCTATGAGACCGGCTGAATGCGCGTGCAGCCGAAAGGGAGGAGGAGAGCTCCCCGCCCGGCGCTGGAGAAAAGGTAAGTTTTAACCCCTTCCTCTCCCCAGAGCCGGGCGGGAGGGGGACCCTGAGGGTGGGGGCACCCTCAGGGCACTATAGTGCCAGGAAAACAAGTGTGTTTTCCTGGCACTATAGTGGTCCTTTAAGGACCAGAGCTGTTTTAACACTTTGTTTGTGTTTAGCTGTAATTTTCCACTCTCATTTACGGTTCCCATACAAATTATATATTGGTTTTTTTCAGGACAAGAAGGGCTTTCTTTACATACCATTATTTGTATCATGTCATATAATTTACTTTAAAAAAAAAAAAAAAATATGGTGAAAGATTGGAGGAAAAAAACATGTTTTTGGACTTTTACTTGAAAAATTGTTTACTTATCTACAGAAGCTAATGAAAAAAACTGCTAAATAGATTCAAAATTTTGTCCTAAATTTAAAAACACCTAGTGTTTACATGCTTTTTTTTGAAATTTATAGGGCTATAAGTACAAGTAGGAAATTGCTGTTTCAAAATATATATATTTTTAAAATTTATAAATAGTGGCATTGTAACACTGTTATCTGTCATAAATCTCTGAATCACACCTCACATGTACATATTTTTTTAAAGTAGACAACCCAAGGTATTCAATATGGGATATGTCCAGTCTTTTTTAGTAGCCACTTAGCCACAAACACTGGCCAAATTTAGCATTTATAGTTGTGTGTTAAAAATGCAAAAAACTATTATGAACGCTAACTTTGGCCAGTGTTTGTGGCTACTAAAAATGGCTGAACATACCCCATTTGCAATACCTTGGGTAGTTTTCTTTTGCAAATGGTATGCCAGCATGGGGGTAATTCTCTTTCCTGGGCTACCATACGCTCTCAAAGGCAACATAACCAATCTGGCAAATTTCAATAAAAAAAAAAAAAAAAAGTAAAATCAAGTCTTATATTTGACCCTGTAACTTTAAAAAGCACTATAAAACCTCTATATGTGGGGTACTGTTATACTCAGGAGACTTCGCTGAACACGAATATTAGTGTTTCAGAACAGTAAAGCGTATATCATCAGTGAAAGTGCTGTTTGTGTGTGAAAACTGTTTTTAAACACTAATATTTCTGTTCAGCGAAGTCTTCCGAGTTAAACAGTACCCCCCATGTACAGGTTTTAGGGTGTCATAGAAAGTTACAGGGTTAAACACAGTGCTAGCAAATTAAATTGTCTGGACTTTCGGCCTGGGTTGTCAGGCGGGTCCCTCAAATTGCAATCAATAAAATTACTTAATTATGTAAAAATATTACATAAATATGCATGTAGAATTTAAATATATATACATATTTATATATTTGAAGTCTACGTGTATATTTATGAAATTATTTATGTAATTATGTATATTGACATGTATATTTCATATTATTTTTATTTATATATACATAGATATATATCATTTCATTCTAAGTGTATTTTGCTATAAATATATATATTTAATATCAAAATACCATTAGAATAAAATTACATACATACGTAATTTTTTGAATTTGTAAAAATTATTTTTAAATTTTATTTTTATTTACTTATTTATATTTTATAATATATATATAGTTATCATATATATTATATATATGCGTGTGTAATTTAATTATAAGTGTATTTTTATATTAATATATGTATATATAAATAAAAAATATACCCTTAGTTTGACATTATGTATATTAGATATATATATATATATATATATATATATATATATATATATGTGTATAATACATGTATATATATCTTATATATATATATATATATATACATATACTTATTTTTATTTTTCACTGATTGCTTTTTTTAACTTTTTTTTTATTTTACACTTGCAGGGAGACTGCCTGTCAGCACAGGCAGTCCCCCTGCAGGCCACAGGCACCTATTGCGGCCATGTGACCGCGGTGTCCTAATTTTCCGTGGGGAGACTGCCTGGGCTGTTAGGCAGTCCCCCCGGACCAAGAGAAACGCAGATCACCGCCGGGGGAACGACGGCGATCTGGTAAGTACCCCAATACCGTTATGACGGTTCAGGACCGTCACCGGTCCTCAAGGGGATATTTCCGATGACTGTTCTGAACCGTCATCAGTCCTTAAGGGGTTAATAATTCTCAGTTTAGGGAATAAACGTGTAGTGTTCATCATAGCTTGGAGATATCCGCTGCCATCAGTTAATTAATATGAAATTTACTAGGGGTTGATACACTAAGCAGTGTATTGCAATAAAGTTAAAGTAGAAAAGTAGCAACATGTAGGCTAATATAGCCTAAGTGTGAATATAGCTGTGATGGAGACTATTTCCAAATCTGCTGTTCAGACCTACATTTGTCAAATCGGTTACAAATCACCGTAAAATGAATGAGCCCCAACCAGAATTTGTTCTGCAAAAAGTCAGCTGGACTGGAGTCAGCATAGCATTACATTCTGGGCAAATAGGCGATAGACTTGTACAGGTAAATAAATGGGCCTGCTCACTAATTAGGGGTCCTATAATAACCATGGAACAGTTACATGCATAGGCAACCTTCGGCACTCCAGAAGTTTTGGACTACACCTCCCATGATGCTTTGCTAGCATTATGGGTGTAAGAGTATTATGAGGGGTGTAGTCCACAACATTTGCAGTGCCGAATGTTGTCTACCCCTGGAACAGTATATCCCCAAACCCTTACACGTCTGCATTGATATGAGAACTAATAATAAGGTTTTATTCGCTGAACTCTATAGTGCAGGCTTCCCCAAACTCCGACCCTACAGATGTGGCTGAACTACAACTCCCATGATTCTCAGCCTATCTATTTCATTCATAGAATCATGGGAGTTATAGTTCAGCAACATCTGAAGGGCCGGAGTTTGGGGAAACCCGCTTAATATGTTAAAATCTAATTCCTAAATTTCAAGAAAAAAAACCCATGCCGTGACTGTAGCTTAGTTAGAGAATCTTTCCCAATCAGCGATTCTGGCCTACATGTTACTATCCAGGCTTCAATTTAATATAATTTTGAGTTTCGTTCACAATCCCTTATCAGGGGGCAGTAATTATTTTATTAAAGCTGCAGGTTCATACATTTCTTTTTCAATTCTTTATTTTATTCGTGCAGAGATTAAACAAGCAGATTTGCACTGCCACAAAAGAGAATGCAAACAGATCTTGAGACATATTATAACAGTGTGTAGGAAAAAGGGATGCAGCTAAGAACTAAAATAAAAAGAAAACAGACAACACATAGTGATGTACAGTTGGATTAAATAACACACTGCAATAATGGTTGCACTCACAAGATGTAAATGAAATATGCGCCTTGAAATCCACTAAGGGATATTACTGGACCGCTTCCACTGGAGGATGGTGGATAGTAAGGAGACTCAAATAGCTCAGGATACAGTCAGGAACCAAATATGGAAAAAAGAGATTTATTTAGGCAGAGTTGCCCAATAAAAAATAAAATCTAACGCGTTTCGTCCAGCGCAGTGGACTTCATCAGAGATAAAAGCAAATTCAACAATGGTACATGGAACAAACATGCATATAAACTACCCCCTCCCCCAGTCCCATTAAATACATAATTGTAGAAAAAGTTGATTGAAGATCAATCAGGTGTGCCTGGACATCAGAGGGCTATCATTGGTGGGCAGAGAGATAGACTGGTTTCCACTGGGTCTGTTGATAACACCAGCTGATGTATATAATTGCCGGTGGAGATTTTCGCTGGTTTATCCGGCTTGCGTTCCACCGGGCCGTGTGTGCGTTCCACCTCCTCCTTCCGGTTTTGCGCATCACTTCCGGTTCCGGTTGAAATGTCCTGAACGTCTATGCGTTCCAACTATGAATTTATAAGCGTTTCATAGCTAACAATTGATGCTCAGAGGATAATAATATTGCAGATGTGAAAAGATTAGATTTAAAAAAAGGGAAAATTAATTACATACATGTACATTAACAATATATGTATATTTCATATCAAGAAGAATAATGAATTATATAAAAATTAAATACAATAAAGAAAGAAGAACCATGCATCTCTCATCATAAAGGTTTTAATAAAGATTTTTTTTTCTTTTTTTTTTCTTTTTAATTAAT